CTGCAGGGATTCAGGGGACACTCTGCAGGGACCCTGGGGACACTCTGCAAGGACTCAGAGGACACTGGAGCTGGCTGGTGTCCCCCCCTGCTCTCAGGGTGCCACCATCCCCTCAGGAAGGGTGTCACACAAAGCCAGAATGACTGCCCTGCCTCGGAGGGCTCCTCTGAACATCAGCACATCCTCGGGGTGCTCGGGTGCCCGGCAGACAGAGCTGACATTCAGACTCTGCGAACAACGGGGCATTCAGAGCAATGAAGGGACTGCAAATCCAGAAGGGATGGAGGGGGGAAAAAAGGCATCTTTGCACACACAATTTGCCTCAAGGAACTCCATGTCATATTACATGGCCAAGGGCACAAGCTGGTGGGATCAAACAAGTGCTGAGCCGGCCCTGGGTGATGCAGACCRAAAAGTAAATGGTGTTAAAAATGGGGAAAGCTCCAGCAGTCGCTCAGGCTGTTCAGCTCATGAGGGACATTGCTTGAGGTGCAATGCCCAGATTTTTTGATGGAAATACAGTTGGCCCTGGGAAATTGGACTAGAGCACGTTGCTTCCCTTTGAAACTGCAGAGGGASGAGACAGGGAAAGGTTTGGAGCAGAGGAAGAGCTGGTATGATGAGATATTACCCCCCAAAACAAATTTGCCAACAAAAGCCCCCAAACACCTTCAGTGAGAACTCAGAGGATGTTCTCTCTCCCTTGGGTACCAGGAGAAAATCTGAAAAGGGTTTGGAGCACTGCTGGAGCTTTCCTGGCTGGACTGAGCCCAGGCTGCAGAAATGGAAAGCAAGCAAGGAGGTCACAGAACTCTGCAGCTTGGGTTTTTTGGTTTTTGTCTTAAGCTGACTGGATAAAAGCTTTGAGAAGACACTTGAAAGCCTGGTTTTCAAGCCACTTGAAAGTGGCTGCTCTCCTTTGAACAGAGCATGGTTCCAGGGCCAGGCTGGCAGCTCCCAGGTTTGGGAGATTTGGATGTGCGTCACGGAGTGGGAAGCGCTGGGCTCTGTCGCTGCTCCTTAGATTGCTTTGTGATAAATGATAAATGATCAATGTAATCATTAACTGGCTCCTTTGGCACAGCTGAGGGTGATAAGGGTGCGGCTGTGCCAGGGCAATCCAAACCCAACGGATTTCCCAGGAGAGGCAGCCCCATCCCAGTAGTGCCCGCTCTCCCCAGACCCCCTGTCCCAGTGGATTTGGAGCCAGGGGGATGGGTTTGCATAATTAAAGATAATTAAAGGTAATTAAAGCTCGGCCATGTGTCACTGCTCCTTATCTCCTCCTGCAACCCCATCAMTGGAAACAGAGGGGAAAGCTGAGTCCCTTTTTAAGGCTCAGCCGTGGATCGAGCCCCCTCCCGTGCCACGCCCTGGATTAACTCACACGCGGTGAGTTTGGGWTTTTGGGATGGCAGAATGCCCCCAAAGCCTCGGGTGCAAGCAGGACCCATCCCAGCAGAGCAGACGCTCGTGGAGCAGCCAAAGGCTCTCCCGGGATGCCGCGGTGGTTCCCCACGCCCGGCAGGGCTCATGCCAGCCCCAGCCCATTCCCCGTGCCCGTGTTCACTCCGCAGGCTGGCCCGGGGCTGCTCCGGGCGCGTCCCGAACCACACACGGAGCTGCGGCCGCCCCGCTCCTCCCGGGCACCGCCGCTGCGAGCGCGGTTCAAAGTTCTCCTCGGCACAAAAACGGGCTTGGAGGGTAATTTGTTGCAGTTTGAAAGCAGCTGAAGTTAATTAGGGAGCAATGAAACATCACACTTTAATATGACTTCATTCCCCTCGGCCGGGCTGGCGCGGATCCGGGCCCGAGTGCTCTCTAATCCCGGTTCCAGCGGGGACCGGGGGRTGCACGGCCCTCTGGAGCTCAGGACAAAGGGGGATGGAGAGCCCTGGCTGCTGCTCAGCGCATCCCTGTCCCACGGCAGGGCACCCGCGGAGCCTGCAGCGCTCCGGACAGTGCCGGGGCAGCCCGGGCAGTGCCCTGGCCCCGGGCCAGGCTGGCCAGGTGAGCTCCTGACTCAGCGGCTCTTGAGCAAGAGCCCCGAGGGCACTGCAGGTGTGCGGTCCATCGTCCATCCCCGCCGGGAGCAGCGACAGCAGCAGCCCTGCTCTGCCCGGAGCTCGGATGAGCGGCGCTGTCCTGCTCGCTGCCACCCCAGAGAGGGCACTGAGTGTCCCTCCTGCCCAGATGGCACTCGAGGGCTTTGTCCTGCTCGGGAATGGCACGGGATAAAGCGCCAGGGGRCACCGGGGGGACACAGCMCTTGCAAACAGAATCTGTRCAGCCMCGCAGGGGACAGAGCCGGCCCCRGGATGGCCACAGCCACCAGCACACGACACGGGACACCTCAGAGCCACGAGGAGGGGAACCGCAGGGTCCTGCTCAGTGTCGGCAGCCAGAACAGAGCTCAAAGCCCAGCTCTGAGAGCCCTTTGGGCGCTGCGGAGACGCTGTGAGCGCTGCCCTGCGGCGGGGAACAGGCTGCATTGCCCCCTAATGGGGTGCGCCGGCACAGCCCCGACCCCCCAACCCTGCGGCACCGGGACACGCAGCAGCGCTCGGCGGGTGCCTCTGCCTCCCTGAGCGGCGGGGACGAGCYGGGCAGGCCGAGCCCGGCTGGGGAACACCGTGAGACAGGGCTTTAGTGTGCTCGGAGCGGTGCCAGGGGACAGCAGAGCGAGGGACCCGGCGGGACCGCTGCCCCCGTCAGTCTGAGCACAGGGAACAGCCTTTCCTGGGTCTCCCAGCCCTTTTCCCCTTGCTGCCTCCACAGCTCATAAAATCTCTCACCTCTAGTCTGAGAAAGCAAAACCCCAAAAATCAGCAAACGGAGTCTGTGTCCTAATGGCAAATCCCATTCCAATTCCTGAGAACCACACCATCAACCCTGTCTCCCCGGGAACACCCCGAGGGCCGAGAGGAGCCATGCCAGGGGCTGTGCCAGGGCTGCACAGCTCACGCCTGCTCTCTCTCAGCACCACTCTGTGCATTTTCTTTGCGTGCATCCACTCCCTTTGCACAACATAAATTCCACWGTCAGCTTTACACTCAAGCATTTGGTTCCCCAAAAGGAATTCAGCTTTTACAGTGAGCAGCAATGCTTGGGCYAGCCACCTTCTGGTGGGCAAGGAGGGCAAGCAGAGCAAAGCACACCTGTGCCTCAGAGGCTCCATAATCACATAGGGATGGCACCATTTTTTTCTGCACCACCTCCCAGAGCACAGCTGGCTTTTGGGGTTCTCCTAAAGGCTCAGCTGCACAGACACATTTTTGGGGATCAGCACCCATCAGGTGATGTTGTGCCATCCCACCTCCCTTCTGCTGTGGTTGCTTCCACTCAGTTGTGCACAACTGATCGATTCTGGGTTTGTAAACAGCATTGTAAGCCAGCTGGAATTGGATGTGCACCTGAATTCCACTGGCTCAGCAAAGGCTGCCACAGAAGGGATTCATTCCAACCTTTGTCTGTGGTGGGGGCACAACAGAGGTGAAGCAGCAGGGATAATACCCACACCTCACTGCTGTAATGCTGCCCAGAGCAGGCTGCCCCTGCATCCCTGGCAGKGTCCAAGGCCAGGCTGGACAGGGCTTGGAGCACCCTGGGACAGTGGAAGTGTCCCTGCCATGGCAGGGGTGGGAATGAGATGAGCTTTAATGTCCCTGCCAACCCAAACCATTGYRTGRTTCCAGAATGAAAACATCAAAGTTTCACCCCACAGGAGGAAGGGGAGGTGGTGCTGAACTGCAGTGACCRATGGAGCCAAGGCAAAGCTGCTTCTGCCCCTCAGTGACCTTCCCCAGGGAATCTGCCTGGGCAAAGCAAGCACRGGACACAACAGGCAAGAGGCAAACCCCAGGCACGGGGAATTTGGGATAAGAGGACAGACTGCAGATAGTTTCACACATGCACCTACGCAGCAGTGGAGGACTTGAGCAGTGTTATCCCTTCCCATCCAAGAGCTGGAGATGGATTCATCCAACTGGCAGAGCCTCCAAAACCCAAATCTTTACAGCTGCTTTGCTAAGAGAGTTTTTTTAGAGGTGTTGGAGTGGGAAGGAGGGAAGAGAAAAACACAGCTAGCACTCCTTCCTACAGCAAGGGGAGAGAAGTTATTTCCTTCACAGATTTAGGTTATAAACAGTTTTAAAGCACAGTTAAAGCCTGAATAAAATAAAAAAAGAATGCTTGAGATGCATGTTGTCATAGCACAGGGCTCGCCAGCACTGCTTTTCCTGACTGGAATTAGTCTTTTATAGCCCAAGCTCAGCTCTCTGTGCTGCTGGAGCAGGGGGGGAAGGCTCCCAAAGCTGCTCTGCAGCCCCTGCAGAAGCTCAGAATGCTGAGGGATTGAGGCACCGCTTCCTGGACGACAAGTGGGATAAGGCACAGAACAGGGAAACGAAAGAGCCACATTTCTGCCCCCCTGCTCATCCTCCCAGTATCTCACCAGGCCCCCAGGGCTCTTCTCATACTGGTTTTGATACAGAAAGCACCATGAGTGAGACCTGGCTGCTGCATCCCAAGGCACTGCCCTAAATTCTGCAATGCCTGGCAGCACTTTTCCTGAGTGACTGAAGCAGTGAGCCCCTTGCTGGAAATGCAAAATTAACTGCAGCCTAAATCTGGACAGTGTTGCTTGAACCAGTGCCAAGGTGCCTCATTTCTGTGACTAACTAGTACCAAATGAATCATTTATTTTTTTTAAAAAAAACCTCCAACTTGGACTTTCAGGGACTTGCAAAAATAATAATTGCACTTGTCTTTTATACCCAACAAACATTTGGCTCTATAGCAGACTCAAAGAAAGAAGCTGTGAGTACAACTGCTGGCAATCATTTCGAATATTTTTTATAACTTTAAGCAGAGATTTTTCTTTTTGCTGTATGGATTGAGATCACTTATTTCCATCTCTCAATGAACTTCTCAGGTCCTCTCAGAACACGTTGTTGCTTCTAATGAACCTCACAAAACACCACGCACAGCAGAACAAGAAATTAACTTTGTGAGAGCCAGGGGAGTACAGGTTTAATTTCTCTTGAATCAGCAGAACAACAATAATCCTGGACAAAAATATGCCACAGTCTCGAGGAAGAGGAAGTTCAGCTCTGATGTTAAGCCTGCCCCAGCTCACTCGGCCATCYCACTATCCAGCTTCCAGGGAAAAGCAAACCAGCATGAAGTGGTTTTCCTTCTGGGAGGCTACTCCCTTCTGCTGGAGGTGGGGGATGATTTCAGCAGTTTCCCCTGTGGAGCAGGTGCCCTCAACGTGGCTCCTCTTCCCTCAGGTCCGTGGTCCATCCTGGCCAGGGCTTCATTTCAGCCAGATCCACTTGTCCCCCACGTCAGCGTTGTAGCCTGGCTTGTACTTGCGCCCAGGGAGCTGAGGAAAGCAGAAAGAAATCAGAACGTTTGCCACTCCCCACAGAAAGTTCTGAAGGGCCTCGTGGTATCTGCAGAACATGAAATACTGGGTTTACAATTTAATGGTAGAAAAATCAGTCTCTTGGCAGAGACTGAGCTGTGCAGGTGAAGGAGGGGCTGCAAAAAGTGTCATAACAGACAGATGAACATGAGGCCAAGGGTCTCAGCACCAGATCCCACCAGGTTCATCCAGCTCCTCCCCTCAGTGCATCGTGGAGGAGAGCAGCACAATCATCCAGGGCAGCCTCATTCCAAAAGAGGCACACACACATTATTAAATGTATGAACTACTCCATGCATGAGATACTGAGTTAATTACCACGTTAAATTAAACCGTTCAAATGAAACTGCACATTTACCTTCAAGAGCTGAACTGAACTTCACTAAAGCAAAAGCAGTATCTGCCTGTCTTCATCAGCAAAGCCAGGAACCACTTTTTGATGGGAAAACCCCAAGATTTCTGAACCTTTGCCCAAATTTCAAGGGTACCCTGGGACCTAAGGAACAGCCTCAGTGAGTCCAAGTGCTGAAGCAGCACCCTTTGGATCATCCCTGACCATGACCTGAAATGCCAGACATGGTGAGATCCTGGTTCCAAAAGCAGAATCCATCTCCAGAACATCTATTCCTACCTCCAGGAATGAAAAACAAACAGAACATCTTGGAGCTCCAGTACTGGACTCAAGCAGCAAAGCATCAGATAACAAAAAAAAAAAAAAAARCCAGTGAGTTTTGTGAGAAAGTCAGCAAAGATGCTGTAATAAAACTCTTCCTTYAAAAAYAAGTTATCTGCTGGCAGCCTCTCCAAATAATAAAGCACAGATCATCTGCTCTGTCTCCACACAAACACTGGTTTCACACAAGACCCCAGCCTTGTCCTGAAGACTTYTTCCTTCCCAAAAAACATGTAAGAGTATCCTGTTGGAGAGAGCTGCCCCTGCAGAGAGAAGCAAGATGCAGCCTTGATAAAATCTACACTCGGGCCACAGAAAAGAGCTGTTTAATAAAAGATGAAGCCTTTTGTTTTGAGGAAGGGGAGCTGTGTTTTTATTCACTCGAATGGCAAAAAACAAGGCACTTCTCTCCCTAAACATCGAGCTGATGGGAGACTTGACCTCCTCCATGAGACACTCCTCACCCTGCCTTGTCACAAACCATTTGTGATCGTTTTTTTCTGAGCTTTTTCAATTAATGTCTTGTCTAAACATCAGCAGAAACCACTCAGTCCCGTCGAGAGTTCCCCCCACTGAGCCAAGAGGAGACGGGAGATGAAAATAAATGATTGCTATCTCTGCCCCACGGATTTCCAGCGGTGAGCCAGGGAGGACATGAGACCTGCTGGGAGCAGCCTGTGACACAAAAACAGCTCTCCCTGCTCCTCTCCAGGCAGCACATAATTGGCCCTTTGATACTTGAAGAGATTCCCAGATAAGTAGATTATTAAAGCAACAGGAGATCTCTGGGAAAATACAGGAGTTTACAGTTTTGTTCCTGGGTACATCTGCCCTCTTAAAAAAGCTACAAGATCAACCCCGACAGAACTCAAACTCATTGGCCAAAACAAATCCCCCGTGTGCCTCTGGTTAAAGACATGCAAGACATCAAAGCAAGCGTTATAATAAGAATTCATCCATAACTCCATCATTCACAGTGGGCCTTGGCAGAGGCAGGAGAGTTTGGGGATTCGTTACAGCTCCGCTTCCAAAATAGCCAAAAAAAAAAAAAAAAAAAAAAAAAAAAAAAAAAAAGAAAAATGGAAGAGGAAAGCAGAGTAAACAAGTCCCATATTACCCAGGAAGCAGCAGGATGTGAATTGATGTTCTGTGCACAAGTACCACAAATACGTCCCCCAAACTGTGCTCTTCCAATGCCCCATTTCACAGGTGGGACTGCAGGGAAGGAGCTGCATGCTCACAAGGCAGGATTGTGCAGATCACCGTGGAGTGCCAGGAGCACCAGGAATGTCTGGGGAGGCAGGGGAAGGGATAGGAGGTGCTGCTCTGCTTAGGATGGTGCTCCAAAGTGCTGAAATTCCCAGGCTGTTCCTGGCCAGGTCCAGGGCAGGGATGGGAACGAGGGCCCAGCCCTGAGGCTGCTGGCTTTGTCTGGGCTGGGCACGGTCTGGCTGCAAGAGATGAGGGAAAAGAGATAGGAAAAAGCTCTACAGAACCTGCCAGCAGCTGAGACAACAGAGAGGCACTGAATATTCACCTCCYCTTGCAGTCCAAGTTCCCTGCAAGTGTCCAAGGCCAGGCTGGAGCACCCTGGGGTAGTGGAAGGTACTGAGAGGAACTTTAAGGTCTGTTCCAACCCAAGCCATGACTTTGTGACACCAGAGATCCCACCAGGCACCCCCAGAGCCCCCCACATCCCCGCAGCAGGAGGCACGGCTGAGCTCCTGCCAGGTCACYGAGGAACAGATTTTTCCACTCCATGGAAATTAATTTAAGATGGAGAACGAAGCCTTGGCCTGCTGCATGACACTGCACAGAGCCCAGAAGTTGGCAGCGAGGATTATTTCCAGAGGGATGTGATAAAATCCACCACACAGAGCATGAAACTCCCAAAATGAGCCGTACCCAAAGGTAGAGCCAGCTCAAAGGCATCAAACTGCTCAACTTTAAAAGAGCATTAGGGAAAGAGACGAAAACAAGATCGTCTCATCAGTTAAATTAAGAACCTGCCACAGAAGTGCCTGTCAAAACCATAAACATGATGAAAAGCCCTCTCAAATGGCAGAGGCTGGGGAGCAGCAGCGAGCAGCTCCAGCCAGCGGCTGCTCCGGATCATCCCACACCAGGCACGTGCAGGTAGAGCTCTGGAGAGCTGAACCACCTGGAAAGGCTGTTCAGGAGTCTCTGGGGAACAGTGAGAATTCCCATTTTTGCCTTCTATCACTGTGCAGCTCCAGGAGTTCTATAAATAGTCTGCTCGGAGCTGAGCACAGAGCGCTTCAAAGCAGAGTCATTCCTCTGCCTGCTCGGGCTCATTCATCAATACCCAAAGCTCATCCTTCAGTGGCTGTTTGTAACAGCCATAATAATGGCCCCTTCCATCACTGCTGCCAGCCCATGACTGCTTTGCATAGGAGAAATCCTCGCTTCCAAAGCTTTGGCAGTGCTGGAGGCACACAGCTAAAATCTGAGAGGATGGAGGAACGTGGAGTTCCAGGTGTTGGCTGGATTCTGGGAGGGTTTGCTTCCTGATTGTTCCTTGTTATTCCTCCTTTAGTTCCTCTCTCCTGCAGGCTGGAGCTGCGGGGGGTCAGTCTCTCCTCCCAAGTTGTTTTGAGGAAGGGGAGTTGYGTTTTTATTCACTTGAATTTCAAAAAACAAGATACTTCTTCCCCTAAACATCGAGCTGATGGGAGACTTGCCCTCCTCCAGAGACACTCCCCACYCTGCCTTGTCACAAACCATTTGTGATCGGTTTTTCTGAGCTTTTTCAATTAATGTCTTGTATAAATATCAGCAGAAACCACACAGTCCTGTTGAGCGTTCCCCACACTGAGCCAAGAGGAGATGGGAGATGAAAAATGACAGGACAAGAGGAAACAGCCTCAAGATGCATCASGGGATGCTGGAAGTGGATAGTWGGGAAAAAATTCTTCATGGAAAGGGCTGTCAGCCAYAGCACAGGCTGCCCAGGAGCTCCCATCCCTGTAGGGATTTAAGAGCCAAGCTGATGTGGCACTTGGGGACATGGGCTGGTGGYGGCCTTAGCAGTGCTGGGTTCAAGTTCTCCATCCTCAGTGATCCCATGCTCCAGAGCAGCAGCTAAAGCAGGGAAGGGGAGCCATTCCCCCCCCAAACACACATCCCAGCTATGTTTCCAAAGGCCTGGCACAGAGATGTTTRTTACAGACTCACTCCCTCCATTCCTTACTCAAACAAAATCCTTCATGCTGTTAAAATATCCACGACAGTCCACGGAACAAGAGCACCCCAAAGCTTTGCTGAATTGAGGCTGAAACAATTCCAGTTTGCTGGAATTGTTCAATGACTGCTGTCCTGCCCTTCATTCATTAGGAAAACAGACAATTAAAAATCCTTTGGAAATAGAGGTGTCCATAAGGTTGATCAGTTACCCACGCCAAAGGGCAGGGAAAAGCCAAGGAACTAATCCAAGCCACAGCACAGTTAAACACCTCAAAGGGGCACAACTTCACTGTGTAAGATCCATGGAGATGTTACCTCTCCATTAAACTATATTYCAATTAATTTTGATTTAACACAGATCTACCCCAGGGATCACATTCCTCCATMGGTACGGGATTAAGAGGGGTTTGGGAAAGGAGGATGTGCTCCCACATAAAAAGTGTTTCCTTTCATAGGCACAGGCTATCAAGTTGAAAATGGATGATTTTAATGCCAGTGGGATTTGATTATCTTTTTGATTTACAGAGGTACCCAGTGCCTGGGACAGCAGGGGCCATCGCCTAAAATAAAACAGACACAACCACCAAGAACAAGATTTGAGACAGTTCCAAGACTCCTTCCCTACTATTTCTGGGATAGATAACCCTGCCAACTGTCCATGAGATTTTTTTAGGGGAAGCATGGTGGAGAAGCTGCCCTGTTCCTAAAGAGGGGCTGCTCTCACATTCTCCATATGGACAGGGACTGGTGAGAGTAGAGAAGTGGGAAGAGAAATAGATCCAGGCACCCTTGAGCAACAACTCTGCCATTCCCAGGTTTTTGTTATTCCTCAGGTTCTTTTGGTCTTACTGACACCTAGCCAGGCAACGTCTTGTTACTTTAGAAAGGGCTAAAAATACTTCTGCTGAGATAAAACAGRAAAAAAAACCCCACTTAAATGAAGCCTTTTCTAATTTATTGTGTGCCTGTTTTCATTCCTTCCTGGATTCAAGAGCAGACAGGGCTGGGCATTACAGCTGTCAAACACCTCCTTTAAAACAGATCTTGATCCTAAAAAGAATGAAAACTCCATCAAGCCAAGAAAAAAAATGGCAGGAGAGAGAAAACAGAAGGTTGTATCAAAGACAGCAGCTATGGCAACCATCACAAACATGGAGAAGAAAGATATCCTCAACTCCCTGCTCCTGCAAAGGCAAGGGCTGATCATGCTGTTGGCTTTGTGAAAACGTGCTCCTTTGGTAGCTCTTTGAGGAGATTCTTCTGTGAGGAGTTYTCTGCTTGCCAGCAGCCCCCTTCAGCCCCAGAGCTGCCAGGAAGGGTCAGGGCTGCTCCTGGCCACCTCAAACCTAGATAAAGTCCTCCCTTCCAGTGCTCCCTTTTGGCTGGCTGTGATTTCCCGTTCAAACACAAGCCCTTACAACACTCTCTGTTTAGGGCTGTGAGACAGAGCTGATTCATGCTGCAGGATCACCTTCCCATCCCTCCAAAGCTGCTTCCCTGCAACCACTGAAAACCTGGAGGCATGGCAGACATTGCACACTGCAGGATTTCCCCTCCTCAGGCTGAATCCTCTTGGAAAAGAGCARTGAAAAGCCTGGGAAAGGAATGTGGGATCCTCCTCCCCTCCATCCTGTTCCCTCTTCTCTGCCTGCTGCTGCACAGGACTGCAGGGCACTGCCAGCCACACATTGCCAAGGCCTGGGGCRGGAGGGAGGAGGATGAGGAGTAGGATACAAAGCAGAAGTTTGGCAAGGCTGAGCTGCGCAGCTGCTGTGGAAGGAGCTGGGCTGCACCCCACAGTAGTAGCCAGGGCTTTCACCAGCTCGAAGCTTTCCTTGCCTCATGCTCAGCACCTCTATATTCCAAAAGCAGCCTTCCACCAAGGGAAACAGGRAGGGAAAACAACATGAGAGCATTCCCTTACCTTTCCATGGCATAGAACGAGGAGGAATTACCTCAGATAGAAGGGATGGATGGGATATTGGGAAGGAATCCTTCCCTGGGAGGGTGGAGAGGGGCTGGCCCAGAGAAGCTCCTGGATCCCTGGCAGTGCCCAAGGCCAGGCTGGACAGGGCTTGGAGCACCCTGGGACAAGGAAAGGTGGAATGAGATGATCTTGACAGTCCCTCCCATCTCCAATCACTCTGTGATTCTCTGATTTTGCGAATTGCAGCAAACAGCTGCACTTTTATGTGCACAGCAAAGCGGCCGCACGTCACAGGAGCCGCTTTCCCGCTCCAGGAGCCGCAGCAGGAGTGTGAAGTACATCAGCACATTATTTAAGTGCACTGATTCCATTAAACAGAGCCATTTGTTTTCATCCTCACTGCAAACACATCTGCCTAAGTGCTGCAGCTCTCCAGCTCCGCAGGGCGCACACGAGCTTGGAGCTTTATCCCTGGGGATCGTGTGTGCTTGCAAGAAAGGCACAGACACACAGCAGTTGTTAGGGGAAAAAAAMCAGGGGTAGTCAAGCCTTTACTAGTCTGACAGTTCCTAAAATGATGCTTTCCTGAAGAATGAACATGCTTATCTCTGATCTGCAGAACCTGACTGAAAGGTTACCTCTCCCTTGCCAGAAAAGCCTCCTCAGAAGTTTCTGAATGCTTGAGCAGAACTGCTGGACCCTGCCAGAGGACTACAGAAAGCACCTCCTCACACATGAAAAGAACCCTCACAGAAGACATTTAGAGGATATACATTAAAAAAGAAAGTGAGTTTCTAGTATTCAGAACCGTATGTGGCAAGCTCATTATTTTGTGGAAAAGCACACATACTAAAATCTTGAACTCTGAAGAGTGCTCCCTCCTCCTCGTCCTCCTTCTTGGTTGCTTCTAATGAATATTTTGAACAAAACCCAGCTTCTGCCTGGAATTTGTAAATCCCTGAAAACCACCATTATTAGGCAGCACGAATTGTGTGCATGGAACTCTGAAAAGCACAGCAGTTTGCTGCCTGTTGGAGAGATCAAGGATTTATGAGTAGTTACAGGGGCAAAAAATCCCCTACGCAAATCATTGTATTTATGTGGTAAACATCATTACAGCGACTTTAAAAGCACGTATTTCCCACAAGGAAAAGTTAAACTTCTGTAATTATYCCATAATTAAGGCTTTACTTACAAGTCAYGTGAGCCTAAAGCCTTTATCTTCAAATGCCACAGCGGCAGCACAGCTGTGACCATCCCTGCACATTCATGGGCAAGGCAGGGGCTTGTGATTCCCTCTTTACAGCCCCAAAAACCTCACAGCCCAAATTGGGGTGTCTGGGAGCTCATCTGCTCTCTGTGCCTGTGCTGGTTGGCCTCTTGCTGGATTCACCTCTGCACAGGAGCCTTGCCTGAGAAAAAAAAAATTCAGCCCTTCATTTGCTAAACAAAGTCAGAAGGAAAAAAAACCCAGATCTTCAAAGTTTACTCACGAAGAGTATAATCCTCAGAACATAAAACAGCAGGTGGGGCTGGCTCTGTGTTTCCCCTTCCAGCAGAGTATGGAAAACAGGAGAGCTCAGCATCTTTTGCATCGTGCACCATCCCTGTCCATCCCCCACACCGCTGAAGGATTACAAGTATCATTCAGGAGAGAGAGGAGGAGTATTAGCGTAGCCTAAATTTAACAAGATACTTCCTGAAACGTGCAGCTCCTRCTGCTTCCAAAGGACGTTATCACTTTCCACAGCACTTTCCTGAATCGGGGCCTACAAACAGGCCTGCAGAAGGGAGATTGCATTTTGGCAATGGTTTTTGTGCTCAGCTTCAGCTGTCAGCTAACTGGCACGGAGCAGAGCRGTCCAAGAGCACAGCTTTCCTTCCCAGGTACCCACATTCCCACTCCCRAGCATCCCTTTGCTACATCTGCAAAGCAAGGCACAAATCTCTCCTGGCAGCCAGCTCTTTGATGAGCCAGGACATTCTCTGCTCCTTGCCAGCACAAAGAGGGATGTGCTGCTGTACAGCCAGAAAGAAAAAAAGCCTTTCAGAAGCCTTACCCCTGGTTCTCAGCACACAGCAYCGAGGTCACATCTAGCTGTGTGTCAGGCAGCCTCAGTAATTCGCAGCTCCGCTGCAAAGGGACATCTCAGCCCCAAAAACCCCCTCTGATCTCGGGAAGAAAGGCACTGGCAGTGCAGATGGATGCTGTGTGTTAGAGACGAGTCATGCAGCAGATCCTGCTCAAATCTGTGCTGCACGGCACAGGCGGCTCTCGGAGGGAAGGGCTCCAAAAATCCTCAGTCTGAGCTTCAAGGTTTGCATTTAAGAATCTGACAGCAAGAAGGAGGAAATTCTGAGAGCGATTTCTCRGCTGGACCGGGGAGTTTTCAAACCCATTAGACAACCTCAGATGCTTTCTGCTGCTTTAACCTTTAGCTTTAGCCCCTTTCACAAGCTGGAAAGGTCACATCTCAAACRAGGCAGAGCACTGTGAACCCAGGAGCCTTCTCCACTACACAGCCAGTCAAGGAGGAACAAATTATGTGAAATATTCCGACTATTCCAGAARAAAGCACTGGTAGCTCAGTTTCCAAACAAGTCCATAAATCTGTAGCTTACACTTTAATTTCAGTAAGAGACCGGTTACTACCAGGAAAAGAAAAATGGTAGTGTTTTGATTATGCAAATCGTGGCTTCTAACAATTTATATTGTCTATTCCTCCCTTTGTCTTCAGCAATTGCTTGGAGAATAATAAGAKGTAGTGGCTGAGAAGATTCCAACCCAACTGGAAAACAGAGGGTCACCTGTAACTTTGGCCCTTCAATATTAATTATCATCAACTCCACAGCTTCTCTAACGACCCCAGGCAAGCCCTGTGTGCCGGGAGAGGAGCCCATGGCAGGGAAGCACCAAGCAGCAGCAGGGCAGGCTCAGAGGGGACYGGGAGCTGCTGGCTCTCTCCAGAAGCAGCAAGGCAGGAGCTAATTAAAACCCTGTGTGGGAGCCTGCATGAGGTGTACGAGAGCGCTGGGCACAACAGGCTTTGGAAGCGTGCCCACGTGCACAAACACTCTATTTAAAGCTACAGCCCTTTGGGGAAGCAAGGCAGTACTCATTCCTGCTCAGAAAAAACACCCCCTCCCTCAGCGTTCGAGAAGGAGTCGCCATGGGTTTCCAATTTTCTTGTTTGGCTTAAGGGATTATTCTAGATTTCAGAGGTCACAGACTCATCAGGGCACGAGAAACAAAAGCAAATGAAAACCGTTTATCCTTTAGTCCACATCAAAAGATCAAAAACAAAAACAAACAAACAAAAAGAAGAAAAAAGAAAATCAGCTTATGAAACAAACCATTTGCTTCATTATTCCTCTTGTGGGGGGGAAGCTAGACTGGAAAGAAGGTGGGGATTTGGGTAAAATCCAGCAGTTCTGGTGGAAAGGGGCAGGAGCGGGGCAGGCAGGACGTGCMCAGCTGTGAGGAGCCCCCTGGCCCTGTYCCCTGCTGYCCCCAGCAGCACTCACCTCTCGATACTCGTAATAGATCTTGTCGTACTCGGTGCCTCCGATGGTGATCTCAGGAAGGAACCTYGGGATGGACACGGAATCCAGCACTCCAACCTTGTCCTGGACACTGAGGGCACAGGAAAAGGGGCACTCAGGTCATCCTGCCCCAATGGCCAAGCAGGGCTGCCCAGGGAAGCTGTGACTGCCCCTGGATCCCTGGAAAWGCTCCAAGCCCAGCTGGAGGGAGCACCCTGGGACAGTGGAAGGTGTCCCTACCCATGGCAGGGGCTGGAACCAAATGCTCCTTCCAGTCCCTTCCAACCCAAACCATTCTGGGATTCATCACCATAGTCCCATGATTGAAGAACTCTTTTTTCTGTTCAATAAAGCTTCCAAAGGTTTGAGCTATTTCCCAAACATTCATCCTTTTCCTCACACATCTGCAATGATTTTCCCCCTCATTCTTTGCCTCCAGTTTGTTCCTGCTCCAACTTTCTGCTTTTCTATTTCCTACCCCAGGTTTTTCCTCCTTGGAGRCGACCCTTCCCTACAAATCTCCTCTGGCTTTTTTGCTTTCTATAAAAGCAGTGTGAAACCCAGCAGTTTTATTGAATGCTACACAGTGCCTTGCCAAATTCCCATCCTGAAGGGATCAGCACCGAGGCCAYGAGAGGCTGTGGGAGCAGGCAGTGCCTGCAGCATCCTGCCTAGGAGCACCTGCAGGGAGGCTGCTGCAGCGATGGATCTTGGGATCCACCACCAACCCACACAGCACCAGCACTTCCAGCTCTGCCCAGTTTGAAAGGCCTGAGAAACTGCTAGAAAGCCTGCTCCTGGGGTTATCCACGGGCCGACAGTGCCACCTGCATGTAACCGGGAAAACACAGCCATCCCTCTGCAATCAGCACCGACCAAACCCTAAACACAGCACAAGGAACTGCAAATTGTGCTGTTTTCACCAAATTCCAGTTCTCTACAAATACTGATGTGCACATCAAGCACGTGCCCTGAGCAAAGCAAAGTTCCTTAACTTTAAGCAATTGTTTTTCCCCAATCATAAATGTTAGGACCTTTCCTCCCAGCACTGAGGAGTTTCAACAAGTAAACTGGTTTGCTAACATATCCTTGACAGTCACACTGCAAATTATCCTACCACAGACAAATTTGTAAGGAGATACAATAATCCAGTACGAGTTCAGATKGGAAAAGGTGAGGATAAATGTCCTTTTCCAAGACCAGGATCAACACCAAAGATGCTACCTATAAACTGCAACATTACTTCTCTTCAACAATAATAATGTGTATTTTACACCCTGGGAAGCACGAAAGTGAGCCCAGGCACACACAACATATAACTTCACACACAGAAATCAGATTTTGTAGTCTACAGCTGACCCATTCCTTCCCGGACCCGAGCCAAGTGGAGAAGACAATTCCCAAATAATTCATTTTAGTTAAAGGCCAAGTAACAAACCTGCTGCTCCCAAAACGTCTTTGCACAAGAAAATAATACAAAGCTACTGATGGCTTCTCCAGCTTCTCTGCACCTTCAGAAAAACCTTGGAATATGAAGTAAAAGCACACCCAAAGACACCTGCCACAACAATGTCTAACCACAAAACCACAGCCGCTTGCCAGGACTAATTCCCTGCTCAGCAGGAAGCATTTAAAGGCACCTTTTATGTTTCTTCAGTTTTCTCTCCCTCTCCCAGCAGAAATTATCACCATTTATGCTTTTCTGACGCTTTAGCAGATTTCTTGGAGGAGCTCTCAGCATGTAGCATCTTTACCTTCCAGATTGGGTCATATTTCAAAAGAACTGAGAGCATGGAAGTGACTGTGTGGTCCCATTATTTTAAGAGCATTGAATTTTATCTCACATAACCCTGCTAACTTGGGATTTTCCCACTGCTCCACTTGGAAGTGCACTACAGCAATGGATAACTCATCTCCTCTCCAAAAGCATCTATTACACACTAATTCACACACACTGTCCAGCACAAAGTGCACAAGCAGAAGAATCAGGACTGACACGTTCCTGCTTCTTTTTAGAGGGGGGATTCCTGCTTYCCTCACAAGCAGCTCACAGCAGGACACACACAGTGAGCATGAGAGTGTGGTGAACCTTGCCAAAAGGTGCAAGGTGGGCTAAGGGAAGGAGAGTGACTAGAAAAAAAAATAAATTAAAAAAAAAAAAATCTGAGTTTGCATAGCCTAGGCTGCGATTTCTCAACACCTGATATTGCAGCCTCACAGAAACTCCAGTGACTATATAATAGAGACCTAAAAACATTCACTGACCTAAGAGCCAACACCACAAAACCATTCAAGATAAATTCTGTGTTGATACATGAAATTTTCCTCTTTCTGCCAAAGGGATTCAGACTGCCCCATCTGGCCGGGCAGAACAGGTATGGCATGGCCAAGGGAGGCACAGCCACTCCCTTGGTGAGCAAATACCATCCACACCAAGAACAAAAAAAATGTTCTCCAAGAAAACTGAGCTGCAAGAAAAGGGCAGAGGGTGCAACAACAGCTCCTCAAACCTATAAACACCACTGCAAAGACAAAWTTACAAAAGTGCTTCAACGGAAGCAGAAAGATGGGATGGACAGGGCTTGGAGCAGCCTGGGATWGTGGAAGGTGTCCCTGTCCACAGCAGGGGTGGAGTGGGATGAGCTTTAGGGTCCCTTCCAACCCAAACCCATTCTTTCATTTTATGATAAAGAGAGAACCAAGATGCTAAARAGAACAGCTGTTACTAGTGTCAGAATGAACAGTTTGGGATTTTTGGAGTCTCCATGACCCAAGTTCCAAAGCCAAGTCCAACACGCCTCCTGCACCCCTTCTAGCCCAGACATTCSAGACACTTCTTCCCTTTGTTAAGCCGAACACACTGGGAACCCTGAAGGGTCTCTCTTCACCGCCAGCTCTCCTGCTGTGCCTCGGGCAGGCTCTGCTCTCCCAGGCTCTGAAGGAGCTGTTGGGATAGATCAGATTTAGCTGCACCCTTCTCTGATGAAACAGGGCAAGAGCAGCGAGTTCCCCACAAGCTGATAAAGCAGCACAGGCAAGGTCACACAGCCCGCAGCTCGTCATCCCAAAACAGATTTATTTTGCAATATGTGCGGCCACACAGATGTTTCTGGGAAAAAAAAAATGTGCCTGAGACAGTGCAGTGACAGCAGAGGAACTCCCTGAGACATTTAAAAAGGCAGAAGGATTTTGGAGCACTCAGGACTTGGAGAGGAAGGAAAGATGTGAAGAACATCTCCTCTGAAAGATCCCTCCAGCCTGCAGACACCGATGCAGCCCTTTTTAACCTTTCCCCAAGATCCCACAACCACCCTGCTAGGGCAGGGGAGAGCACTCGAGGGCAYGCAGTGAGATAAAAGGGATCATTATGCAACTGATTGCCCATGGGTGCGGCTCACCGGCTTGATTAGCTGACTGATTTGCATTAATTACTCCGAGGCCCTGCTGGGGTTCCMGTGCATTAGACCCCGTGTGTGTGCAATGAGAAAGTTCTCCTCAGCCCTGCCCACCCACCCCAGTCCCCAGACACGCTGGCACAAGCTGAGTGTGGCAGAGGGGACAGGGCTGACACGGCGCCCAGAGCTGGGAGGGCAGCRAAGGAGGAGAGTGCAAATGGAAAAAATCAGAGCAGAACTGAGATTGGATGTTAGGGAAAATTTCCTCCCTGGAAGACTGGGCAGGCACTAGAACAGGCAGTTGGGGAATCGCTGTCCCTCAAAGCGTCCCAAAGCCACRTGGGTGTGACACTTGGGGACATGGGCTCAGCAGCACTGGGGGAATGGCTCGGTGATCTTAGAGGGTTTTTCCAACAGAAACAATCCCAAAAATAACTGCTGGAGCATCCCAGGAACACCCAGRAGAGGGCAGCATGTGCCAGCACAAGGCCAGGCACCAGGAACCTGCAGGAAAACCGCTTTCCAAAGGAAGAATTCACACGGGACACCTGCACATCTGGGGGAGCACGGGCTCTCTGCCCACTGGGGCACTGGAAAAAGCCAGGAAAGCATCAGCTGCAAGGTCATGGACCCACTCATGGGATGCTCAGGAGGCAAGACCTGCAGCAGAAGACCTTCTCCCTGCACTCCTGGGGGAAGATCCTGTCCTAACACACACATTTTCACCAAGAGCCTCTTTCCAACACATTGCCCAGGATCCCCTCACCCGGCTGAGTGAGGCATGGGCACAAAACTGGCAYCTTTAGCAATGCCTAGCTAGCCCGGCACAAATGAAGATCCAAAAGTAAACAGCACAGCTCGATGTTCCTTGTGGGTCCTTTCCAGCRCAGGATATTTATGATCCTGTGGTTTAAATAAACCCTTTATTGCATTGTGAGATGTTCAAACAGCCACAGGGTTTTGCCAGAAGAAGAAATCATTTCATATTAGCCACAGTGACAAGAGACTCTCTCAGCCTCCCCCAGGGTTCAGTGAAAAATTGAGTCCTTAAAGCAATTTATTCCCTTCCACAGCTGCAAAGTGGAATTTTCATACAGTACCTTAACACACTGCTCTAATTGTATGGTTTCCTTCAACTCCCTCCTACTCACCACAATCAATAATCCTCTCAATACCTGCACTCGTGTGGAGCCCCTAGAAAACAAGGAACTTATTTCCTCTTTCAAAGGAAAGCTGATTGGGATAATTTTTCAGGGTCTAAGTCACCAGATGTTCTCCTCCAATTACTGCACAAAGAAACCTCATCTTTGATACATAAAATRCACCCAAATCATGACTTGTTTTTGTCAGTCTCCACCCAACACTGCTCTTCTGCAACCTACCTTCACTCCTTGAGGTAAAAACCACAGAACAGGAGCATTATCTCTAATTTCAGGAGGTATTTGAAGAACCAGCACAGAARAGTAAAATGCAAGGAATGTCAGAAGTCAGCAAAAGAAGTTTAACATACTACTCCAACTCCTGCCACAAAGACAGTTTAAAAAAATCCCTGCTTCCATTAACCTGTGAGATAACCAGAAATCATTGAAAATAACATAACCCTTAAATTGTTTTACAAATACAACTATACTGAAATTTCCACCTGTCCATTCAATCTAAAGATGAAGTTGCAGCAAGATGGGAAGCCTGTCTCACTACTTCTGGTATTAACAGTCTTGGAAGGGCAGATATATTCTTTATCTATATCTTTACATTTTCTATAAGTAAGACTGGCAAATAAACCTGGTGCACTCTCAAAGAATTATTAAAATCAACTTAAATTCTATTTCAACAAGGCACTTTCCACTGTCTGAGTCTGATCTCTTCACATCCAACTAGGCAGACAAGGATCTTTGATAAAAACTACCTTTAAATTTGTCTGGAGTCTCCCGTCTTATCAATTAGCTGAAAAAATGCCACACTATGTTCCAGTGCCAAGTGCCAAATTACAGAATAGAATCCCACCTTTAAAAATCTCACAGCTTTGACTGTTTTCCCTGAGATTTGATGCCAAGWATTGCTCAGTGGCTGGATGACATCATACTTACTAAAGTCTCAAGTGATGGAAAGAAACATCATCTTGCTCCAGCCATGGCCCCTTGTCAAACTTCAGGTACTCAATGTCTTCAATTACCTGGAATCAGGAAAGAAAGTCACTGAGGGGTGATTTAATCAAAAAATTAATTAATCAAAACAGGTTATTAAACAAATGAAAAAGGCTTCACTGCTAAAGCTGTAGTAACAAGGCAAATGTTAAAGATAACACAATCATCTCCCAGTTCTATTCCTGCAGGTCACACATGGGGGGCAGCTCCAAAGATCCTGATGCTTTCAGCTTTGGATGGCAGGAATAAACTGGCTGAGAGGTGCCCTACTTCCAAATCCTTACCTGATCCAAAATGTTCCTCCTCAACCTGGGGCTGGAAAGCAATGAAGGTATAACCTCACCCCTGAGGGAGAATGAGGAGGAAATGGAGATGATCTCAAATTTAACTGCCTTTTGTCACAAAAATAAAATTGTCATGGCACATAGGATGCCTCTTTRGTTGGTGTTATTTCCAGAGAGGCTCATGTCACTTTCCCTGGTTCACATCCCAGAAACAAAGGCACATTTCAGACTGGAAAACTCTGACCTGGAGAAGCTGAGTCCAAAGGCTCAGGATTTCAGCGGCCATCAAGACCCACCGACGCGTGAAAGGAAAGGTAACACAACTCAGCACAGCCAGAACCCTTCAAACAGCCATGCCAGCTCAGCAAATCATTCCATCAGCATCCCCAAACTCATCAATCCCACCTTTGAGCTTCATTTACAGCCTGGCTCCACCAGAAAACAGATCTTTGCTGGGCCAGGGGGTAATTGCTTATCACAGCTGGCTGGCTGGAGCTGGGGGAAACCTGCCCTGCGTGTCAGGAGGATGCACTCGAGCTGCCTGATGAGGTGGAGACAACTCGGGAAGGAGTGGATTGTCACAGCTCCAAACATCCCTTTCCACAGGGAAAGGACAAGGTCATGACCAAACTCCTGATGACACATTGTCAACCCATTGACAAGTGAGCCGATGTCAGTACTGAAGTGACAGAAGGATAAATGAAAAATCCTTGTATTCTCTGCATTAAATTCATTTTAATTATTTCCTGCATTAAATCCCAGATATTACTATTAAAAGATGATTAAAAATGCTGTTATAAAGCAGCCCTGACTAGAAAGGTCCACTCTTACCAGKATGACATTTTCATGGTTTGAAATAATGGTTTGGGTATGACTGAATGAACATTTTTGSGGCACAAACTGCTGCAACTCCAAAGACAAGAGGAAGAGAGGTGTGAGGTAAGTTAGTTCAAACAGCCATTATTTCTTTTAATTTTTTATTAAAAAGCTGAACCTCCACCTTACTTCTCACAGGCTACACAAAAGCAATTCCTCCTCTCCTCCATAGCAAAGCTTTGGAAAATCTCTGCTGCCTGATACCAGGACTCATCACAGAGCTGCTAGAAAAGGGCTCAGAATGTGTTAGAGGGGACTCACAGTTATCATATCAGAAAATCTCCCCCAGCAGCTCCTTAACAACAGGATCAGCTTCCCAAAAAGAACAGAAGAAAAACTTCTTCATTTATAAGCAATGTCCTAGCACCCCCCCAGGAATTAGCAGCAGATCAAAGGCTTTGAAAAAAAATAAACATATAACCAACTTTGYATTCCCAGTTTTATCCTCATGCCAAACCAGTATGCAACACCCTAATGAAGCTCATTTCAGCACTCATTACCCCTTCAGCCACCACAGCCAAAGTTAATTATGATAGGAAACCCCACCTGACCTTTTTAAGACACTTAAAAAATCATTTCTAAGCTGTGTATCTCTGCTCTGAGCAAATCAAGTTATTCAACTACAAGRCTATAAAAAATTCAGCTCCCAAATCCCAAAGCAAATATATTGGAGTGAGYTAATGAACACTGCTGCCTGTCAAGGGGATCCAGCTGTGTAAACACACACCTCACTACTGCTGCCACCCCTTATTTCCAAATTCYTGCTGTGTCACTCCAAAGGGAAGCTGAACAGAAAAGGAGGAAAAAAACAGCTTCATTCTTTCAAGCTGAACAAGTACCAATATCCATCACCAACATCCAACAATGACAACACCRTGGGCTGGATAATCCTACAAGGTCTTTTCCAACCTTAATCATTCTGTGGCATTGCACTTTAACTTCCAAATAATAATCCTTCCCCTAGTCCAGATTTGTCCAGGCAAATTAAGAACCCCACTGGTGCATCTGATGACCCTATTTAGAGCAATGACAAGATTGCTGAGCTCAGGAGAGTGGMTCCTTGAACAGTAAGAGCTTTAGAATGACTTTAAACCCTGATTTAAAGGATTAAAATCAAATCTCCATCAATGGGGTTTACTACAAAAAAATCTAGGGAGAAAACAACCTGCTTTATTCTGACCACTTCAAAAATGTGTCCAGAGAGAAGGACAGGGAACYTATCTGTCCATATAACCCCCATCTCAACTTGCCCTTAATTCACCAAACAACCTATCCTGAAACACCACAGTTCTCAACTCTTATCCTTTCTTTTATGTTATCCAGAAAAAARCTATAATTACTCTACATTCTCATTCACATCACAACCTCAGCTCTTTCATTCATGCCAAGCTTGAACTTTTGTGTATTTTTTCTGTTTATTACCTGCTGTCACACTGAAGCCACCAGCCCTTTTTTAGGGGTATAAACCCACACTGCCCCASAAGTCTACTGATTATTAATGATAACCTTTATCATCAAGTGCAGGAACACCCCAAAATCCATCCATGACAGTAGAGGAGCCAAAATGAGGCACACAGCCATGTTCTGATAAAAGGAACTGAAAGGCCTAGAGACAAATGGGAGGRGTATGGAGTGTTAATTTTTAGGATCAGGAAAGTCCTTATCAATCCTTTCTGCTTSACACAGTCATATGCCAGAACTTGGAAGAACACCACCACCAAAAAAGCAATTTCAGTCAGATTAAGAGTAATTTAAACATTAAAATATACATCCTGAATATGCTAGTAAGCTTAAAAGAGGTATCCAAGCTTCAACCTAGATATTCCTCAGCTCTCTGCTAAGATCATCCTGCACACAGCATAGGAGGAGGAGGAGTTTGGGCTGGGTACAAGCAGGGTAGAAATTTCACCTCATTAGGATGAAGACAAAAAGTCCTTGGAGAGAGCTCGTGGGCAATCCTGTCCCTCCTCCCAAGAGAAGAGGATTCTTGGCAAGCTTCCACGTAGGATTATTATGATCCAGGTTAACATCGTATTACTGTTATTAATAGAGATTTTCCCCTAGAACTGAAACAGGCCCAAAACCTGTCCAAAATCACAAAAACCTTGGTGCTCTTCTCATCCGGGAACAGCAGCTCCAAAGAAAAGTCAGTGATGGTGTAGCAAAATGCTTCTATTATCCCACTAATAATCCTCCACAAGCAGGAAAGGTCATTGAAATAAGGTAAATCTATTAAACTTATTCCCAAAAAAGCAAAACTTACCTTTTCCACRTCCTCAGCTTCAGTTGCTGTGTACTGCAGAACTTCACTGCTCTCRCTGCAAAGAAGAAAGAAATTGAAATGCCCCGATGAAAATGCTCTGTCCACCCTCCCCTGGCTCCAAAAGGAGCAGYAATGAAGTTAAAAGGCACAAACACCAAACCGGAATCATTACAATTATTTAGAATGCTCACAGCTGTTGCAATGGAATTCCTGTCACACCTGTGAGCTTCTTCTTTGCTGGCAGAAAGTTGCTTTTAAAGGGAAAACAGCCTGAAATMTACATAATTTCAGTTAAAAAAATTGCACCTAAGAATTTGTTTTCATTTAATTAATGTGGATACCTGCCCTTATTACAACTGCCCAATCTACTTGAAAATCAGTGAAATTTTCAGTCCAGCCCAAAAGTTCAGCAGACTTTCTTTTTTGACTACCTGTGAGTCATCGCAAGAGAAGAAAGCATTAATTTAGTAGTGTTTACTCAGGCTGAGCTACCTGAATACAAATGCAGGCAGCAAGGTTTGTGAGTGTAARTAACATTTTACAAAGTTAACGTTTCCTGGTTACAAGATAGGTTTTTTAATCGAAAAAGGCACTTGCTGAGCAGGGCCACAACAGAAGCTCCTGCATGAATGTTTCACTCTACACACATTCAGCAATAGCTGCTCCAGCTGGAAAACCCTGAAGGCCCTGGAATAGCTGCCCAATGTGGACATTCYATCAAACATCACACAGCAAAGCTCAGGGGCGTGGAGGAAAATTCACAGAATCCCAAATGGTTTGGGGGAAGGGACCTTRAAGCTCATCCAKTTCCCCCCYKSCMWKGGCAGGGACATCTTCYACCATCCCAGGTTCCTCCAAGTCCTGTCCAGCCTGGCCTTGGACACACCCACGGATGGGACAAGCACCTGGAATAAGAGATTCTCTCTTCAATATCAGCCTAAGGGAGAGGTCAGCCTTTAGCAAAGCCTTACACTGGCACTAACGAGGCCGATCAAATCACTTGATCCCATCTCTTGATTTGACTCTGCAGATTATCAGGGCTTCATTAAGTGAAAACAGCTGCTCAGTGACTCTGCAGATTATTAGGGCTTTTCTTAAGAGAAAACAGCTGCTCAGTGGAAGCAGCATTGGATAGGAAAGAGAACATTACCAATCTTAAGGCTCCGCTCCAGGAAAAGAGAAAAATCAAAGCGAACCCAAACACCGTCTGTTCCAAATCACCAGGCAGTGCCTGCCACAGCACCCAGCTCACAAATCACCACCAATAAAAACAATAAAGACATTCATAAACATGTCAGCTGGAAAGGAAGCTTATCCATTTTAAAGCAAGCATCCACTGTAAACCACTTTAAGCAGGATCAGGCTTCTCCAGTTCCACAGAACAAGATAAGAGGAGTTTTGCCCAGTAACAAACTCTTTCTCAAGAGAAGAAACAAACTTCAACATGGGAAGTGTGCAGGACAAGCTCAGCTATCTTTAAGAACTTTTTTTAGCCTTTTTTGAGCCAGATTGGAGGCACCCTCAGGAATCAGGGAACCAAACTAGGCAGACTAAGAGGTAACAGGCAGGCACAGCTCTCTGCATTGCTGTCAGCAAACAGTTAAAGGCAACTGTGGCTCCTCATTTATCCCCTACAGGAGCCACCCTGAGGTGCACAGAGCTGCGTTCACACAGTCCCACTGCCCCCAGCCAGGGCACAGAGACACAGATCGATGTGACAAGCTGCTGGGAGCCCCTCTGCTGACAGGAGCCAAGCAGAGGCTGTTTGCTGAACAGGGGCACTGACCATGTAACAGCGAGGGGAAGGAGTTGAATTCACAGCAGGATTTAGGGTTGAGCCTCACTGAACACCATGAGATGCGTCTGGGGCTTGCTCTGATCCAAGAACAAGCAGCATTTTTCTCCTCACCGGTAATTGCAGAGCTTTGCCCTCGGGGGGATGGCACTCCCAGGACTTGCCACCCTCATTCCCAACCGTGGGGACACGCGGGAATGCAGCCGAGCGTGTGTGACACCAGCAMCCCCTGCCTGCATCAATGACAAGCTCAATATCCATTTATTCACTCCACTGGCTGGCAGAGACATCACCCTACTCCACTCAGGGAGGCAGAGAAAGCACCAGGGGATGCAGACAGGCTACAAAATACCTGGGAATGAATCTACTCTCCTTCAAATCAGCCTCATGCACGAACCAGAGCTTTGACAATTAATTAATCTGACAACTTGGAGAATTTTCATTCCAGAATTATGAGGGAGCAGGGCTACTTTCAGATTTTTTTGGACAATTTTAATTTTGATACAGCTCTTTTATGAGAATTGGGAGRGCTGGCAAGCTCTGTTCCATCCCAAGTTTACAAGACACGCATTGTTTATTCCCAGTTAGAGGAAGCCAGGGGAGCCCAGAGAGTGACAGACAAGGGGGGGGGGACAGCTTCCACTGCCAGAGGGCAGGGAGAGATAGGATATTGGGTAGGAATTCATCTCTGTGAAGGTGGGGAAGGGCTGGGGTGGAATTCCCAGAGAAGCTGTGGCTATTCCATCACTGACAGGTTGGACATTGGGGCTTGGAATACCCTGGGATCGTGGAAGGTGTCCCTGCCTGTGGCAGGGGGTGAATGAACTTTTAAGGCCCCTTCCAACCCAAACCATTCTGGGATTCTATAGCAACTGAAAGGACTTTCTGGGGAGAAAAGCTCTAAAACTCTCCAAAAAAAAGTCGTGTCACATCCTGCTCTCCTCAGGTCATGCCAACACATGCAGCCATAGCTGTGGCACTCTGCACATCACTCCTGAATCCATTTTCCATCTTYCAGCACTGACATCAGGCTCCTGGGATGGCAGGGGCAGCTCCACTCACACAGCTCTTRCACCATGACTGCAACACCCCATCGTTAGGACAACACTGTGCTCTGCAGCACAAAGAGGAGTTTTCACATGATTTGATGATATTGGCAGAGATTTTAATGTTTGCACACATTTTGCCTTCAAAGACCTAAGAGACAAAACATTTTGCTTTGCTAACCTGATCTCTGGYAGGAAGGTATTCTTGTAGGCATCCTCAATGCTCTGGAGATAGGAAGGAGACACCTTTCTCTCATATGGCTACAAACAAACAGAAWGCAATGTGGAATTAATTTTCTCTCTTTTCCCTCCCAGTACAGACTCCAAGGGCTGCTCCACCACTCTGGAATGAGCAGTCAAACACCCTAGTGAACCACGTGCACATTAGTGAAAGTCTCAAGAATTAAGACAGTTGGAGTGTTTGGAATTCCCTGCATGCCATCAGGCACCTAGAGAGGCCCCCAGCTTTGCAAGGGGTGAATCACCCCTCACTGCACATCCCAGGAAAGCTGTAATTATCATCCAGAAAACAGGAGGAGACTGTCTGAGTCTACCTTTTTATAAGGGGCCAATGTGCACCTGTTCCCMGTTTCAGACAAGTGCATGGGCAACCATCCACTCCCACCCCCCACTTCAACCTCCTCCTGTAAAATTTCATGGTATCATACCCCTGCCGCTGAACAGCTTGCATTCTGAACAAAACACCAGGARTTTCTCTAATCTACCATTACTGTTACTTCAGTCCAGTCCTAAAATTTAAGCACATTTCCTGCTTGAAATGCTCCTCCAAGTTGCCCATTATGGTGGCCTCGCTGGAACTTTTGGCTTTTCCCAGCATCCCAAAACAGACCACTGAATACCAGACTGCCAAAGCAGCAGAATTCCCAAAAATATCATTCCCAAACAAGCCCTACGGTGCTTAGCAGGGCCACTGGCCCATAAATTCACAAGCTACACCAGCAATTTCTGTCCAAAGGTTTCAAAAATGCCATTTTATGACCTTTATGCTCATAAGGGCAAAGCTCACCAGTTCCCCCAATACATGAAGAACATACTAATTGAGAATTTTTTTCTAATATATCAAAGCTTCCTTTTAATGTACCAAGTTTTCCAGAGTTAACCTGCATTTCCCATAGCCTTTGARCAAGGCAAGCATCATTTCATGCACATAACATGTCTGAAAACAGTTACAAGCACACATCTAAATATCAAAGAAAGAGGGAAAAAAAACCCCAAATTAAAAACCTTGCTTAGATTAGTCATTCCCCAAAAGCACCCTACAGCTTTCCTGACCCAAGACTTGTTCAATAACGCAGCCATCCAGCAGTGATTTGTTGAATTTCAGGGAGTTAAGTGAACCTGCTGATCCCAGGTGACTCACACGTGAACCCCAGCTCCGGTGTGAAGGAGCAGTCAGCTGGGAAGCAGCAGACAGCGAGCCCAGCTGGGCTTCTGGCAGTCRGGAATAACAAATGTGTCACCTCTAAGTACATTGCAAGCAGCACATCACCTGGCCATGGCTCTTCAAGTGGCAGTTACAAAGCCTGGTGTAAAATTCACCTGCTCTGAAAGCAATTTCTCATTCCAGTCTTAATGTCAACTTCTGTTTTCCTTTTTTAAAGCAAGCATATGAGAACACCCAGAGTCATCACCGTCACTCAGATCTCACACCTCAGAGCACAAGCAGCTCTTTAGAAGCAGAGTTCAGCAGCAAATCCCCCAGGACTCGCTGCTGAGTGCGATTAAAACAGCTGTTAACATGCAGCAATTGTGAGAGATGAGAATGTTAATTGCTTATCTCAAATCTATCAAAGACAGAATTACCTTGCCTTTCTCTTGAATCCTCTTCTGCACCTCTGGGACAGGTGTGTCCACATAAATGACCAAGTGAGGTGGTAGCAGCTCAGCCATGCTGATCTCCTTGACCTCCTTGTAGTGATCAAGGCCTGTATCAAACACAAATAAATCACATCCCCCAGCTCTGTATTTGCAGTGTCCTCCTCTTGGCTCATAGAGCAAGTTTAGGGCAGGCTTTTCCTCAAATAGAATTCAGAAATTTTACAGAACAATCTCTAGAAACTCAGAAGCACCATGCACTGAGATCTAATAATCTAAACCCAGATGTACTAAAGAGGGTTTACTCCTGACTCAGGTCTAGAGGAATCCCAGCTCTTCATTATCAGACACAGTAAGCAGCAGTACCTCTAACCACAATGTGTCTTCCCTAAGGGTTCCAGTACAATTTGCCACTAGGATTTCACATTAAATTGTGGATTTCTGGGCTCTCAAAGTCATGCAGCAGCTTACAGCAGGTGGTAAAAAAACAATACACACCTCCTAAATCAAACAGCAAAATCAGGAAGCAGTCAGGAAACAGCCATCTTCACCTCAGGAGGAGCCAAAATGCCAGATTTACTGAGAGCAGGCAGCAACAGCTCAGGAGCTCAGTGCTCATAACCCCAAACCAAATCACACAGACTGGGAGAAACAACCCCAAATCACCTGGTTTAACCACTATGCTCAGAACTCCACCCACAGCATCCTGAGTATCTCCAGGAGGAAAAGCCCAGGGTTAGACTCCCTTCACAGCAGGCTTTTTTTCCTTACAAATAAAACTGAAAATCTCATGGCTTTCATGAGGGGCTCTCATGGAGGTCAGTCCTTAATGCACAAAACAGCAACAGAGGAACARCTGAATATTTAAAGGAATCCCACCTTCCAAACAGGTCTTTTTTGAAAGCAAACTAAACAACCAGATTTCTGACAGATCATRACAAAACAGCATCCTTTTGCCTGGCAGGAACTCACATCTCTTGTGGACATATCCTTGCTTTAGCATGGCATCCAGGAACACGAAGTCACTGTAGGGAGAGCGCTCCAGCACCACACCTTGACCTGCAGGTGGAAACAGGGTCCAGGCTGGGTTAAAGGGAGCTGCAAGGTCCCTCCCAGCCCAAAGCATTCCCTGATTGCAGCAGCCCCAACCTGTACTGAGCAGGTGCTCCAGGGCGTCAGCATACTGCAGGACACGGTTCCCGTAGATCCAGGACTGCAGGCGGTACGAGTGCCCRTCAGGAGCCTTGGGGTCTGTGTAGAACTTCTCCAGGCTGCAGAAGCCACTGAACCTCTCAGGCAGCAGGCTCCCATCCCCTGAGCTCCTGTCCTGGTAATGGATGCCCGCTTCAGGGAAATGTTTCATTCCTGCCCAAGGAGRAAAAGCCACAGCAGAGATAAATGCCATGGAACAGCTCCTGAAACAGCCCCGATCCCTTTGTTTATCGCAGCAGAGGGTGATAAACCCAAACTCAAGCACTGCCCCGCCCCAAGGAGAGCTGAGCTGCTCCAAGCACAGCCCTGTGCACATCCACGTGGAAAATCCAAGCTCTCCAGGACCACATTAGACCTGAAAGTTCCCTCCCAACAAATCCCACTCCCTCAGGTGTCTCACAGACCTGACAGATGTCCTCACCCCAAACCTGAGCAGCATTACCCATAAACCCTCCCCATTCCCTCCAGCATTTCCCAGGTAATCCAGAACTGCAGCCTTGGTGAATTTTCTCTACACAAGGATTGTAATTAAACCCTACAAACTCTCAGAGAAGCAGTCCCAGCAGGCCATACCCAGCTTTTCTGCTATTTGYTTTGCCAGCTTGCCCTTCCCAGAAGACAGATTGCCCTCCACTGTGAAGACCTTGCTGTGCTGTCTGAACTTCTTGCTGGCCCTTTCTCCCAGCATGTAGGCCAGCCACCCATACTGGAGGCYGTGCTCAGGGCTGGTGTGGATCCGTGCCTGGAGAAAAACACAGAAATCAGCATATCTGGAGGTTTTTTCTAGCTGAAAATGCAGCTGCTTCCGACACTTCTACACACACAGGACACACTCTCACACATCTAACACAAGGAGTTTTTACTCAGTGACCTTAGCACTGTCATTTCAGCATAGCAACTGAAGCAGTGATTAGGCTGGGATGCTGTTAATGAAATTAAATGCTGAGAAGACAAAGTATGGAACAACTTTCAGTCCGAAGGCCAGACACAAAACAAACCCCAAGTTCCCAAGGGAGACCCCACATTAGACTTTTTAACATTTCATTTGGTTTGGGGACCATAATAATACTAAAACCACTTTCAGGAGAGTCATAGTTTACTTTCAATACAATTTAGCAGACAAAAGTTTAGACTTGACAACCCTGGAGGCCTTTTTCAGTCTTAACAATTCCATAATTTCTGCACAACACAAAGGTGGTGAGACAGACCCTGCTGGGCTGTGGGGCTAAAGGCAGGGACTTCCTGAGTCCTTTCAGAGCTTCCCAGACCCTGACAAACATTGCACAAACCTCACTCTGAGCASGGCAGTGATGCCCGTTATACACAGAGCAGTTTATTTTTATTTAACACGTCTTTCCTC